CCCAGCTGCTTGGGAGGCTGAGGCAGGAGACTCGCTTGAGCCCAGGAGTTGGAGGTTGCTGTGAGTATGATGCCATGGCACTCTACCCAAGGGGAATAGCTTGAGTCTCCGTCTCAAAAAAAAAAAATAGCCAGGCACTGTGGTGGGCCTGTGTAGTCCCAGCTACTCAGGAGGCTGAGGCAAGAGAACCTCCTAAGCCCAAGAGCTGGAGGTTGCTGAGTTGTGACGCCACAGCATTCTACCAAGGGTGATAAAATGAGACTCTGTCTCAAAAAATAAAAAAAGTTCGCATAAGCTATTCACAATAATGAATAGCTTAAAGTAAGTGTTATAAGTTGATATTTTTTTAAAGGACTACAAAAAAATTGCATCATTAATTTCCATCAAACTCCAAAGAAGTAAACATTAAATGGTTAACAAGAGAGGAAAAACAGGGATGGGAATCAGGTAGCTCATAAGGAAAAGAATTTTACTTGTGCCATTTCATTGCATTAAAATGCACAAAAAGTAATATTCTGGAACTTTTTCTTTTCTCTGTCTCTTACAGGTTCTTTGGCATGGATAAATGTTCAGTGGGAGGATTAGAACTGACTGATGCTTTATTAGGGAGTACAGCTATGACAACTAGTCTCGTGGATATAGGAGATTCATTTGGTGATCCAACTAGTCGTTCAGTTAAAAGATCTAGAAACTCATCAGTGGAAGATGATGATGACGTTGTATTTATTGAATCTATACAACCTCCTTCAATTTCTGCTCCTGCAATAGCTGATAAAAGAAGCTTTATATTTGCATCATCAAACAATGAAAAGCCACAAGGAAGTGGTTCTATAATTCTTCCTTCTTCAAGAGATTTGGCTTCTCAGAAGGGAAATATAAGTGAGACCATTGTTATTGATGATGAAGAGGACATAGAAACACATGGAAAGGAGGAGAAAAATTCTTCTAGTTTTATTGAATGGGGACTTCCTGAAACTGAAAACAGAACCAAAGATTTGGATTTCTCTACTTCCAGTCTTTCAAGAAGTAAGGTAAATGCAGGAATGGGTAATAGTGTTATCACTACAGAATCGACTCTGAAATACATATTGCTAATGTTACAGCCATAGAAACAGGTATAAGCTCTGTGAATGCTGGGCGAGATATGAACTTAATGATTACACATATAACATCACTGTAGAATACCAACTTGAGAGATGTCGCTAAAGGACTTCAGTCAAGTAATTTTGGTGTTAATATACAAACATACACCCATCTTTAACTTCACAGACCAAGACTGGAGTAGGACCTTTTAATCCTGGTAGAGTGAATGTGACAGGAGACGTGTTTCAGAATGGAGAATCAGCAACTCATCATAGTCCTGGTAAGCAGTAAGTCATGATTTTTTCTTTTTTTCTTTTTTTTTTTTTTGCAGTTTTTGGTCAGGGCTGGGTTTGAACCCATGACCTCTGGCATTTGGGGCCAGCGCCCTACTCCTTTGAGCCACAGGCGCTGCCCATGATTTTTTCTTTTTATGTCAAATAAACTTTTGGGTGTTCTTTTTAGTACTATGTGTGACGTATTTTTTTAACTTTGATATTAAGATAGAATATTTTCTTTAATAGAAATACAGTCTACTTGGTTTCTGTAATTTGGGGAATTTAATCTAGTGTGATCTATTCTAGTGTCAATAATTTACATCTAAAGTGTTTTATGAAAATGGGCAGCTCCCATAGCTCAGCAGATAGGGCGCCTGCCACATACACCCAGGTTGGTGGGTTTGAACCTGGCCCGGGCCAGCTAAAACAACAATGACAACTGCCCCAAAACTATATAGCCTGGTGCTATGGCGGGTGCCTGTAATCTCAGCTACTTAGAAGGCTGAGGCAAGAGAATCAATTAAGCCCAAGAGTTTGGGGTTGCTGTGAGATATGACACCACTGCACTCTACCCAGGGCAGTGGCTTGAGACTGTATGTCTCAAAATAAATAAATAAAGTGGGGGTTTTTTGTTTTTGTTTTTGTTTTTTGTAGAGACAGCCTCACTTTATTGCCCTCGGTAAAGTGCTGTAGCATCACACAGCTCACAGCAACCTCCATCTCCTGGGCTTAGGCGATTCTCCTGCCTCAGCCTCCCGAGTAGCTGGGACTACAGGCACCTGCCACAATGCCCAGCTATTTTTTGGTTACAGTTTGCCTGGGTCAGGTTTGAACCTGCCACAAATAGTGTTTTAATTAAAAACTCTTATAATAGGCTGAGCATGGTGGCTCATGCATGTAATGCTAGCACTCTGGGAGGCCAAGGCGAATAAATTGCCTGAACTCACAGGTTCTAGATCAGCCTGAACCAGAGTGAAACCTCATCTCTAAAAATAGCCAGGCACTGCAGCAGGCACATGTAGTTCCAGCTACTCAGAAGAGTGAGACAAGAGGATTGCTTAAGCCCAAGGAGTTTGAGGTTGCTGTGAGCTGTGACACTATGGCACTCTACCAATGAATGGCTGCAAAGAGAGACTCTGTTTCAAAAAAAAAAAAACTGTAAATCTGCCACCAGCCTTGTTTATCTTAATATAAAAATCATAAATAAGGGCAGCACCTGTGGCTCAAAGGAGTAAGGCTCTGGCCCCATATGCCAAAGGTGGTGGGTTCAAACCCAGCCTCAGCAAAAACTGCAAAAAAAAAAAAAAAAAAGAATCATAAATAAAACCATGGGTAATCAGCAGAAAGAACAAAGTAATACTATATAACTAAATTTTACTTAATTTATAATTATGTAACTTTGAGTTTCAGGTTTAGCTTTTTAAGTTTTTACTTTTGGGTTCTTATCTCAGGTTTTAGGGGTTTTTTTGGTGTGGGTTTTTATTTTTTATTTTATTTTTATTTATTATTTTGTTGTTGTTGCAGTTTTTGGCTGGGGCTGGATTGGAACCCACCACCTCCAGCATATGGGGCTGGTGCCCTACTCGTTGAGCCCAGGTGCCACCCTATTTATTTATTTTTTGCAGTTTTTGACTGGGGCTAGGTTTGAACCCACCACCTCTGGTATATGGGGCCAGCGCCCTACTCCTTTGAGCCACAGGCCACTGCCCATCATTTTTTATTTATTTTTAATTTTTTATTGTTTTTCAGTTTTTGACCAGGGCTGGGTTTGAACCCACCACCTCCGGTATGTGGGGCCAGCACCCTACTCCTTTGCGGCACAGGCGCTGCCCCCGGGTTTTATTTTGTTTGTTTTTTAATGGGATCTTGTTCTTATTGCCCATGTTTCCCAGGCTAGAATACAGTGGGGTCATCATAGCTCACAACAGCCTCAAACTCTTGGGCTGGACTCAAGAAATCCTCCTGCGTCAGCCTCCCAAGTAGCTTCGACTACAAGCATAGGCCACTGCATCTGGCTAATTGTTGGAAAAACAAAGATTTCCTATGTTGCTCAGACTGATCTTGAACTCCTGACTTCAAGCAATCTTCTCACCTCAGCCTTCCAGTACTGGATTTGTAGTTGTGAGCCATCAGGCCTAGTCTCAGATTTAATTTTTAAATAAGCAGGAGTTTATTTTTGTTGTTGTTGTTGTTTTGAGACAGTCTCACTATGTCACCCTCAGTAAAGTACTGTGGCGTCACAGCTCATAGCAACCTCAAACTCTTGGCCTTAAGCAGTTCTCTTGCTTCAGCCTCCCAAGTAGCTGGGACTACAGGGGCCTGCCACAATGCCTGGCTTTTTTTTCATTTGTTTGTTTGCAGTTGTCATTGTTTTTTTTTTTTTTTTGAGACGGAGCCTCAAGCTATCCCCCTGGGTAGAGTGCCATGGCATCACGCTCACAGCAACCTCCAACTCCTGGGCTCAAGCGAGTCTCCTGCCTCAGCCTCCCAAGTAGCTGGGACCACAGGCGCCCGCCACAACGCCTGGCCATTTTTTTGGTTGCAGCCATCATTGTTGCTTGGCGGGCCCAGGCTGAGGATTCAAACCTGCCACCTTAGGTGTATGTGGCTGGCGCCTTAGCCGCTTGAGCCACAGGCGCCGAGCCGCAGTGGTCATTGTTGTTTAGCAGGCTAAGGCTGGGCTTAAACCCACCAGCTTCCATGTATGTGCCTGGCGCCCTACTCACTGAGCTATGGATGCCAAGCCTAAATAAGCATTTTTATTAGTTGTTAGACTTTTTTTTTTTTTTTTGAGACACAGTTTCACTCTGTTGCCCCACGCTGGACTACCTAGCATCATAGTTTATTAGCAACCTTAAACTCTTGGATTCAAGTGATTCTCTGCTGGAACTACTGATGCCCACCATAACACCTGGCTAGTTTTTTCTATTTTTAGTAGAGACAGGGTCTTGCTCTTGCTCAGGTTAGTCTCAAACTCCTGAGCTCAAGCAATCCTCCTGTCTCAGCCTCTCAGAGTATACAGGTGAGAGACACTGTGCCTGGGCAGTTGTTTGATTTTTAAAGTTGGAAAACTTTTTGCCTTAAACTATATTTTTAAACTTCAATGTGGATGGTCCTAGTCTGATAAAATATAACAGATTATTTTAAAAGAACTATTTCTTGGCTTGGCACCTGTTGTTCAAGTGGCTAAGGTGCCAACCACATACACTTGAGCTGGTGGGTTCAAATTCAGCCTGGGGCCACCAACCAACAATGATGTCTGCAACTAAAAAAATAGCCCGGCGTTGTGGCAGGCACCTGTAGTCCCAGCTACATGGGAGACTGAGGCAAGAGAATCGCTTGAGCCCAGGATTAGAGGTTATTGTGAGCTGTGATGTCACAGCACTCTACCCAGGGCGATAGCCTGAGGCTCTGTCTCAAAAAAAAAGAACTATTTCTTTTTGTGGCTTTTTTTTTTGTGTGTGTGTGAAGTTAGAGGGCTTGATTTTTTTTTTTGTAACTATTATAGTGTTTTTAGCCTATTGAACTTTAAGAAAGGGCTAAAAAGTAACTGAAACCTATTAACCTAATCAGATTACTATGTGATTATTATATAACATTTGGGAATAATATGATGGTTAGAAATAAGAAAATATGTCACCTTATCCCAATAATTACAAGTCACCACTGTTAAGATTTTGGTTTGTGTTTAGTTTTTTGCCTCTGTGGTCTTATTTATTTACCCATCTATCCTTGAAATTTCCCAACTATTAGAAGTATCTGTGCTATATTCATGAGCCCCTTGGTTCATACATGAATTTATGGTAAGAGATGACTCAAGATGAGGGCTGGTCACCAGAAAAACCAGCCATGTGATTAGAGAGTTGATTCTTTGAGCCAGCCTAGACTTGGGGAGCAGAGGGGTCTGGAAACTGAGATCAGTCATTGGCCAATGATTTGAACAGTCATGCGTATGCAGTGAAACCCCACTCTAGACATTGCTTAGTATAGCCTTTTGGTTGGTGAACACATCACTGTGCCAGGAGGATAATGTTACTGATAATTCAGAGTATCCACACTTAATTCAGAGAGCCAAAAGGGTGGGAAACACAGAAAAGAATGTAAGAGACCTGTGACACTTGATGAAAAGAGCATGCAGTTAAGGTACTAGAAAGAGCAAGAGACAAATGAGGCAGAAGAGATATGATGAATAATTTTCTAAAACTTAGACAAACATTAACGTAAATGAAAGTTAAAAGGTTAAATCATTAACTTAAGCATAAAGTTTGTTTATATGTACTTGATTCACCATCCTGAGAAATCAAAGAATTCCTTTTGTTACTTGATTTGTATTATTTTTGCCTATAAAATAATCTGAAAATTGGAAAAAGAAGGTGGTAATTTAGAACCAATAATAGTTTTTTATATATGTAGGCTCGGCGCCTGTGGCTCAAG